TAAGCACAGGGGACTTTCTTCTATTGAGTCTCTCATAGGAGAAAATTAAGCATTTAGGAAAGAGCACTCTTCTTCATTTGGGCCACTAGGGTACATTGCTGTTGAAGCCTTTTTCTAATTCCTACTTTCATCAAAACTTTAATATTCGGGTAAAAAGAAATTGTTTCCTTCGTGTTCTCAATGACTTGTAATTTTCTCAGGGCTGAATTTACTATTTAGGAGTAACTTAGACCTTCAAGGGAATGAAGGTAGTTTTTTTTTTTTTTCAGTCTGAAAATTCATGGGATGGACCTTGTGACGTTTTACTTAAAAGCAAATCCTTTAAGAAAAGTGTAAAGAAGTGCATTCATGGTGACTGCAATTTTATCCTCTGCCCAGTCCATGTCTACCCTTTGTCAACTGGCTGTGTGGGTTGAAAGGCTGCCGGGAAGCGTGAAGGCGCTGCTGTGAAGGCGCCTGCTTGCTCCTGGTACGCTGCCGTCAGTACCGTAATGATCCAGGGCTCCACCCTGGGCTCAGCAGCACAGGGACAGGGTTTGACGCCATCTGGAACTTTGAACCTCTGGATGTCTTTTTCTTACCCTCTCTGCTAATGGGCTGATGTTGATTGACATGTTTCGTCACCTGGGTGCCTGATATTTGACATCTGGGCACTTACAAGGCAAAGACGGATATGGGCTGAAAAGCATCACCAGAGATTCATAGATTCAGCGGCACCGATTGCCAGGAAATGTAAATATTAAGTCTAGTTTTAATTAAACTCTAATTTAGCGCCGTGTCACAATTATGCTTGTTTTTCTCTGCAATTCTCTCTCCCTCTCTGTATATACATATATATGTTTATGTTGCTATATCTGTAAGCAGACCCTGACAAAGACATACGCACATATGTTTATGTGTGTGTGCATAATTAGGCATCCTTTATTCATCGGAGTGATTATTTTTAATGGAAAATATCAAGATTCACCCACGTATTGTTTCGTGAACCATGGAGCTCCAGAACTGTTTTCTGTGTCCTAATTAAGGATTGTGTTCCGGTTGATAAATGATCCTCTCTGCTCACGAATGCTCTGCAAGTGGCTAATTGACATAAACATGATGAAATGGACAACGCTGCTTAATTCTGAGACAAACAATGTAAAAAATTAGATTCATTATTTGTGACACTGCCCTTTCTTCTGTGGGGGTGGGAGGCTGAGGGCTGCTGATAACCGGAAAGACTTTAAGAAATGTGAGCTCTACCATCGGTGTCTTCCGTCCACAGGCTCTGCCTTCTCAGATTCAACCAACCATGCATCAAAAATATTTGAAAAATATTGTATCTGCAAACGCACTGTGTATATTTCTTGTCATTGTTCCCTAAATAACACTGGATAAGAACCATTTACATAGCATTTACATTGTATTATGATTTATAAGTTATCTAGAGATGATTTAAAATTTATAGCAGGGTGAGCATAGGTTACAAGCAAATACTATGCCATTTCATGCAAGAGGCTTCAGCATTTAGAGGTTTCGATTTTTTTGAGACTCCTGTAACCAATTCCCAGTAGATTCAGAGAAACTGCTCTATTTTAAATATTTTATAAGGGTATCACAACTCAAATAACCATTTCATTAAATAAGAAAGGTGAATACTGACTTTTTGTAGTTTGATATTTGTATTATGAACATCGCTAGAATTTATATTTTAGATTAGCTAAAACTTTCACAAGTGAGGCCCTGGGATTGATCCCCAGACCACAAAAGTAGATATTAATTAATTAATGTAGTTTACAGGACTGTCACATTCATTAAAATCTTGTCATCCATGGAGAAAATGAATAAAATAATGTATGATGAATAATCTTGGATCCATTGTTGAGTGAGAATGGAAAAAAATGTATTTTCTTCACTGAAAATAACCTTCTTTGTTTGAAATATAGTTATCAATATTGGAGGAAGTTGAGCGCAGGGAATTATACATGTATTACAAAAAACAAACCATGAGTAATGAAAGAGCTGAGGGATGTGTAGAATTATTCAACTGCAATAGAGATTATTTTTTCACTCATTAAATTCAGACAGAATATAAAAAAGAAGTGAAGCTTATTTCTAAAACTGAGCAAATTCCAAGTTTTCTAAATTAATTGTTCAAAAACATAACTGATGCACTGTAAGTGCAAGAGGCTGTAGCTAGCGCCATCTTACTGCCAGTCTTGTGTTAGAAGAACCCATTGGTACTTAGCAGTCGGCTGGTCTCAGCATACAATGTTTGTGTGCTGGGTCTACTGTAAAATACTAGGAAAAAAAGGGTGAATTTGCTCTCAGGGTCTAAGATAGTTCATCTATAGCAAATGGGTCTTTTCCAAGCAAGTCAAAGTCTGACAATTGAGTCCTCAAAAAATATGTACTTAGGTTGTATATAACAGACTACTAGTCTGCCCTAAAGAAAGATAAACTTGAGTAATTTGTGGAAAAATGGATGAACCTTGAGACCATAATGTTAAGTGGAATAAATAGAACACATGAGCTTAAATATTCCATGGTTTCTTTTATGTGAGAAACTCAAAATATAAATAAAGAGCCCAAGCAAAGGTGATTGGAAGTAGAGAGACAGAACTTTCCCAAATGGGAAGGGTATCACTACAACCATGTACAAAAAAGATTAAAAGTAAAATGTGTATTGAGATTTTTCTTTGTAATTCTGAAAGTAATGTGCTATTGAAGATATTAGTTAATTCTTCATTGAAAATTTCTCATCTTATATGATGGAGAGCCCATCTGGGATAGTAGGTAACTACTGGATGTTATGCTAAAGATATTTCTCTATTAAAAAGAAGTAAATTACAGCAGTGGACTTATGTCAGCAAATGTGTACGTTAAGTGTAAACTCCACAACTTGAATCAGAGCAGTACAGCATATCAAAGAGATGTGTAAGTGTATGTCTAACGGATAAGTTTTCCATTGCTTAGTTATAATCACCCCATGCCATTTAGACTTGGCTGTAAAAGAGCTTTTTAAAAAGCAAGTAAATTAAATAATTCATCATTTGAAATAGCTAATATCTGGTTGAAAAGTTTAGAAATACTTACTGTGACTTCATAAAGAATTAATTTGTTTATAAGACATTTTCTAAGAATTTTGTTTTTGTTTTTGTTTTTGTTTTTTGGCTGGGCATTTGTAGACACAATATGTTGAGTGAATATGATAAACTTTGTTTTTGTCCCCATGGAAGAAAAGTCTAACAAGTACATTCAATTACATATGCAGTGATTAAGATACTAAAAAATATAGTCTTTGCTGAAATATCAGTGTTTGGGAATGCCTAACAGGGAAATACAGGGGAACATGAAGGCTTCCTCAAAGACAGAGCATTTAAATAGAAACCTGCAGAATGCACAGGAGTTTGTCACACATGGCAGAGGAAAGTGTGTTGCTATGCTCCCTACGGAAAGTGCGTCAGGACCAGGAATGTATGGGGGCACCTAACAGCCCCATGTTAATGCAGCAGAAGGCACTGTTTGAGACCCAGCATGCAAGAAGGGAAGAAGCAACAGCTAAGAACAGAGGAAGGACTCAGAGGCCCATAAGCCATGGAATGTCCACCGGGATGCAAGAGTCTACAGGAGATACTTGGTAGGGCAAAATTATTCCAGATTTCTATGTCAGAAAATCTTTTTGTCAGTAATGTGGACAGTGGGTTGAGTAGGAGCGAAAGCTAGAACCATGGAATCTACATAACTGATTGCTGACCAGTTATAGAAAAAAAAATGTGGACAGTGGCTAGTGAAGAATTAACAGCTGAGGATTCTTATGCCTGCACTTAGCCCTGGGTGTTACCTCATTTCCTTTTGATTGGCATGGCTAGATTCTCTTGCAATCCTGGCGTGATAATTGTGGGACCTCTGATGTGGTGATTCCCCACATTTTTTGAGACTATGATAACTACTCAGTATTTTGTATTTTGGCTCTTTTTTCATCATTCAAATAACATCCTAACATCATCTTTAAAATACTCTTTAATTGTTTCTTTTTTTTCCTCTTTGATACCGGGAATTGAACTCACGATCTTGCACTTGGCAGGCATGTGCTTGGCCACTGAGCTATATCCCCGGCCCTAAAATATTCTTTTAAGCCATGCAAAATTTATTTTAAACAGCTCAAGTCAGGTTGCAAGTCTTCTGGGCCAGAAAATAATCTTTTCAAATGCTTTTCACTTCTTCTATTCTTGCTAAGTTTCTCCTTACCTTGAAGGAACACTGGTTACTCATTTGACCTCCTTGTCATGTCACATCAAGTCAGCAACTACAACACTGTTCCTTAACTGGACTTCCAACCTCTCCTTGCTCAATCCATGGATATTTGTTAATTTTGCACTCGAGTTGCAAGCTAGTCCTGAAATGACTTCAGCTTAATAAGTAGCTCATGGCTGCAAGGGGACGGTTGCCAATCCTGACAAGACTGAACTGCCTGTTTTTGGAGGGAAGAACGACAGGCCATAAGCCACGGCTTAGGCTTGACACTTGCAGAGTGATGGCTATTGAACTGTTGCTTCTCTTTTCTTTTTTGAGTAGATATAAGCAGTGTGGAAATTGTGGATAGTGGAGAAATTACTTAGCTTTTTCTTTAATGATTGCAGTGCTATGTTTACTCTAGGGAAACTGGCTTTTCCTTAGCCTCAAACTTTTCAAAAATACCCACTCAACTATGGAATAACTAAATATCGCACATTAAAAAATAAATGGATCAAACTTATAACCACTAGTATAGCTAATCGAGCTGGTTGTATTTGCGAGACTGCTTATTTCAAGCATCAAATGGAAGCACAGTTCTCTAAAATTCAGGAAACTCTTATCAGGTACCCCTGAGTATCCAGGCATGCTTAAGTCATTAAGTGACACTTTACACCAGAAGCAGGCATACTTAGGTGCTTCGTGATGACTTGTACGGCATAAGGATACAGTTTTCCTTGAAACGCTTCAAAAACACAACTTAGACAAACGAGGATCTAACTCACTTAGCTTCTTCATGCAGTCCCGGAGTCTGGTTTCCAGGCTGAGCACCCTTTGATGTAGCTCCTCGTAGTCATAGGTGCCAATCTCCTCCTGAATCCCAGTGAGAACGGCAGACAGGTTGCGTATCTCCTCCTTGAACTGCGTGATCAGCTTGGCATCTGTTTTGTACTGCTCCAGCACAGGAATCAAAGGCAGGAGCTCATCCATCTTTTCCTTCAACTCCTGTGAAAAGGAATGCACTGTTCCAGGACCCTGCTTGAAACTTTTACATTCTTTTCACAATGATAGATTAAAAAAGGATCATTAAAACAGATTCAAAGTCCCATATTGATTTTTGCTTGATTTTAGATTTTTTATGAAAATATAAATACACAGGATCATTAGTGATAAATACAGTCATCTCACCTTTCTCTAGAATCTCCTCCCTTTCAATGGATACAGGCTTCTCTATAAAACAAATCGATCCTTATCATAATTAGAAAACTTCCCTATGGTAGCAGCTATGGATTTTTGTATTATCTCATACTCTTGTAGCATCTTATAATGTGAACAATGCATCATCTAGTTAGGAAAAATAAACAGGACCTAGCTTGTAATTATGCATTAAGTTTAAACAACCTTATTAGATATGTCACATACCCTATGGCTGTTAGTTATCAAACTACTGAATATCCTTTTTATAGGGGTACCAATAGGAAATTTTGCATTTTGCATCAGCTTTTTTCCATTGCAACTTAGACTTTTTAATTGTGGCCATTGACTCTTCTGTCCTTCCACTGTTATCTGCCCACTGTAGCTCTTTTTACTATCTATCTTAGCGCAACTTCATTAGGAAAGTAAGTTTAGCAAATACAATAAATCGTGCAAAGCTCAAAAAATACATAGTGCTGTTTACCACTTTGAATTATTACCTATTCTCTGACTCCACTTGTCCTTAGATAATTTAGAGGTCATTATCTAAGAAACAACAGCATATCCATGCAATGAATTAACTCTTTAAAGGTCCAAGGTGCGAGGCTTTGATTACAGCAGAGACAGTTGACAGAGTTGTCTGAATCTTAAATGCTGATTGTTGTCACAAGCGTAGGTATATGTTTATGGAGCCAAGGCAGGTCCCTCACTCCTGTCACAGGGCTGATCCACATTACAATTTCATCTGCACTTTCATGGTTGTCATCTTTATTTCTTTACTTTAGCTTGGTGGTAATGGTCAACAGAAATATCTCTTGAGTTTGACTCACAGTTTGACTGTGAGTTGAATGCAGATGATGCCATTTGTGAGAGGAGCTACCATTCTGATGATCCAACGAGCACGACCCATAGGTCTTGCAGGAACCATTCTGAACACTAATTTAAGGAAGTGAAAATTCACTTTTAAATTACATTTGGAAGATGTTATCACCATAAATGCACTAAAATGGCAGGAGCTCCCAGTGCTGATTTAGAGGCTTGTGCTTCTTGTGGAGAAGTTTCTACTTGTTCTGCAAATTCAGGAGTCTTAGCATCTGTGTGCGTGTGCTTGCTGAATGGGACAACAGAAGTCTCTGTAATGAGCAGCTTTCATAAAGCTCACAGGTTAAGGGAGAGTTCTAGAACCTTGCTCATGTTAGGGACTCCTTTTGAAATAGATTTATTATTTTGAGCATCTTTGGCATCCGTAAAGGGGGACACAATTATTTCCTTAGGGTTTTAGCAAGATTGTTTGTATCATTTCCTGCATGTATTGCATATGTTCATAAAGTATATATTATTTCTTGTTATGGTTTAGAACAAGAGTGTCCCTTCAGGAGCTCATGTGCTCAGATGTGAAGGTGATTTAATTATGAGCACTGCTGCTGAGCTCCACTTAGAGGTGGGGCCTGGTAGGATGAGTCACTGGTGGTGTGACTGGAAGGCCGTGTCTCCCTGCGTGGCTCCTGTCTTCTGTCTCTGCTTCCTGGCTGCCCTCCATGAGCCACTTTCCTCCCCCAGGCCCTCTGCCATCCCATTTCTGTGTTTAAACCTGGGGATACGGACTGAGACTTCCGAACTGTGAGCCCAAACCAACCAACCCACCCATCAACCAAACAAAGAAACCAAGCTAAATCACCTTTATTTTTAAATTGTAAGTATTATGTCTTACAATGACAAAATGACTGTGTATTACAGGAGACTCAACCCAGGTTTTTCACACTACTATAGTTCTTCAGGCCATTCTTGTTTTTCATTGTTTACTTTGAGGAAAGATCTTGCTAAGTCACTAAGTTGCTAAATTTTCTAGGTGAAGCTAGAATTTGTGATCCTCTTGCCTTAGCCTCCTGAAGCACTAGGATTACAGGCATGCACCACTATATCTAGCACATCTGCTGCTTCATTATAAAAACTATTACATGGAAGATTTTATATTTTTCTATGGGCATATTTCAAAGAGAAGACTTCAATGTCAAAATTTTGATAGTGGTTTTTCTCCTCCTGAATTAGAATATACAGGGGCTGGGGATTTAGCTCAGTGGCACAGTGCCTGCCTGGCAAGTGAGAGGTTGTGAGTTCGATTCCTGGTACTGGAAAAAACCTAAAAAACCATATATATATGTATATATATACATATATATACACATATTTCTTTTCCTTATCTTTTCAAAAATTCATTATTAAATTTTTGGTAGTTTATTTGGAAACTGAAAACACACCACAAAACAGTGCAATGTCCAATGAAAATTCATATCACCTACATACAAATTTAAATTATAACACCAAAGATCTGTGTTTTTCTCTGTCTTCTCAAATCTCACCTTCTGCTCTCTTGCTCTTGCAGAAAGAGCTAGAGTACCTAACCAAACAACTCTCTTTCCATATAGAAATGATAGTCTCAAGTAGGAATGTAGGTTTTCCATGGGAAAGACTGTGGAAGGCGAAATCTATTTAGTGTATTGTATAAGGCAAAAACTGTTCATTGGAGAAATATATTGTAAAAATATTTTTCAAAGTTTAACTTCTCCTTGGAATGTTCCATTTCTTCTAAAATATGGTACTTCAGCAGCTGGAGTGCCATCTGATTCATGGGGGGCCTCAGTAAACAAACATATAAAACAATGTATACTTCCCATCGAATTATTATTGTGATTTTTTAATTCAGAAAGGTAATATGCACTTGTAGAGGTAATGTACTATTAGTATGAATAGTCATAAATCTCAAGCTGGACTTTGTGGGCTTGAATCTTCATTCAGATCCATGTTAGATATGTGGCCCTGGTAAAATATTCAGTATTATGTGCATCACTTTATTTATCTGGTAGAGATAAAAATAGCTCTTACCTTAAAGAATTGTTGGGAGAGATTAAATTAATTTATAGATTTAATGTGTTCAGAATTGTGCCTTGAATATATACAATTGTTCAGAAAAAGTTATTGCTACATCTGTACTGTTACTGCAGTTTTGACATATAACTTGAGCACATATTTGGATCGCGTGAAGTAGGAAAATCCAAGTAACTAGGTCAGATGGAGTTGCCTGATGATTAATTTTTTTGCTAGGTAATTTACACACTAGGAAAATCTTTTCCCTGGATTTAATTCAGCTTTGTTTCGTTGTCCCATTTTCTCCCAAGAGTTTCCAGAGGTGTGCACGCCTCACGGTGCCTCTGGGATTCTGTCAACCCAAGTACCCTAAGGCATCTCGTAGCTCCACAGAATTTCCACTCCCTTGTCTGTCTGTCCCAGACAGCTTGCACTCCTTTTGTTCCTTTTAGGGAATGGGGCCCTGCACCTAGTTTGTTGATGAACTTTGCTTTGGGTTCATGTCATTGTTCTACCACTTCTGCACTGAGTCTAAGAGTTGAAAATTTATACTGAATGTTTTTGGTTTCTTTGATGCCCTTCGTAATGTAGTGTTTTGGGGAGAGTGGATGGCTCCTGTCTAAAATTGCTTTCTTGAGTGTTACCAAATCCGAGAATTCTTCTCCAGACCTTTTCTGAACAAAATTAAGCAGCTTCCTTTTGTGCTCTTCAGTAACGTTCGTGCCTCCGTTTGACACCAGTTTCACCTCGCTGCTCGTTATCTTTCATAGAAGAGATTCCGTGCTACGTGGCCACCACTTCCCAGCAGCCCCTCGGGCAGTGCGTGTGCTCAACAATTCTGATTAAAATAAATTTTGTGTGCCTCAGTCTCATAGTCTTCATTTCCCACTTCTTATAAGTTCTCTGTTCATCCGGGTCACACTGCCGCCTTAGCATCTATACATTTACTATATTTCCTAGGTCTTGCTCTAAATTGTCTTCGTTTCCTAACCTGCTGGCTTTGCTCACACTTTTTACAACTGACAATTCACCACCTCCGCCTCCTCTTTTGTCCATTTTCTTGCTCTGTCCTCCTTCAGCTATGACTTAGTAAAACTTTCAAACCTGTTCTTGTACAAGCCTGTCGTCTACACCAATCTATTGAGGTTTCCGAGAACACAGGAAGAAATTTGAGACCAAGATAATTTCTAACACATACAAATGTGCCACGCAGGGACCCTGCTGCACACCTCTGACTGGCATCACACCCATCTCCAGCCTGCCCAAAAGGTACTTTTTTCTTGACCATGTGCATAAATTAGGTCTACTTCCCCAACATCGGCAATGAACTTTGCTCCCTAAATGGCAGGAGAAATGGGCCATATGTGAGCAACCACAAGTTGTTTTATAGACTGTGTGCTGTGCTCTTCTAAGCCAGATTGTTCATTTTTTAATAGAGGTTCAAACGGCACCGTTAGACACGTATTTTTTAAATGAATGATTTAGTTACACATGGTTGATAAAAATCCATACAGCATGCTTTGAACATGATTTCTCCCTTTTCAGTGTTTCTAGGTATTTGCCAATATACCACTAACGTCTAATAAAAAGGCTATATTTGTATAAAATTCTGAAACAATCCTCTTTTAACATTGCTCTTCTTAATGCTATTGCCTCTTCTAACAATTTATAGTTTCTACAGTTCTCATGTTTGCAAGGCATGCAATTATCACAAAACTTTATTGACCTAATTATTAACTTTCCTTGGGAGTTCCCCTTGTCTTAGACATTGAAGTGCCTGTAAATTTACCCAACAATTTCATCTAGCTCTGTGGGGCTGAGGCTCTTTTTATAGCAGCTTTCATATGTTCCCAGCGGCTAATGGTCAATATCCACAGAGAGATGATTGACACACACCCCCAGCCAGTCTTCCACCTTGCACATGCGGGAGAGCGCAGAGCTATTTCTAGCTAAGTGCCATTCTGTCTGTCACACTCTACCCATCTGGACTGGCAAGGTTGCAGCAGTCAGACTTACTTGGAAATGCTTGGTCATTAGCGTCTTCCGGTCATCTTCAATCTGCCGAAACTTGGCCTTCAGCCCTTTCATTTGCGTTTCCATCTTTAACACATACTGGAAATCTCTCTGAGTTCTCAAGTTTAGGACTTCGATAGACTGGGACATGTTCTGAACCTGTTAAATGGAAGCGTTTGTTATACACGGTTATCTGCTTGCAGGCACACCCAGTCGCTCCTCCAGCACCCAGGATGACGTCAGCATAAAGAGCTCGAAGTGCTGCATGCATAACTGCATTTGCACACATCGAGTTTCCAGAAGGACGTTTTCCCATTATAAACTCTCAAATAATGCAGTGAGACAAGATGATACCTCAGTAGGACATTTAAAGACAGACATTTCAGCATTAGAAATGATTGAATAAATAAGAATTTAGTACATTAAAATAAATTTTAAAACTACTATTTTCCTTGCAGCGTTCTGTAAACTTATAACCTCCCAAACTAAAAGTGTCAAAAAAGTTATTTCTGTAAGTACTAATTCTACTTCTTAAAGACCAAGGATGCTTAGCAATTCTGAAGTGCAGCATGGTCTCCACACATCTAGAATGCAGTCATGCCGGTGAACATACTTCACGATTGGTCTAAGCCACTCCCAGGGTGACCAGCACACATGATGGCAGTACTGGGACACTGGCTAAGGCACCCAGAAAATGGCAACTGCAAATGCTTGGTAGACAACAGTAAACATATGTTCACCAGATGGTAACATCCCAGGTTCACTGAGCCCTGGGCTATTTAAAAGTGGGAAATGGGTGACCTAGAAAGCATGCAGAAATGCAAGAAAAGCTGCCCCAATTTCTGTGTCAGGAAAAACTTGAAAGCAAAGGGAAAGCCTCTAATAGTGAAGTTACAGGAACTGAAGAATAGAATATGAATAAACTGTGTCATAAAAAATAAGATCAATCTGTGTATGCTCAGTACTCATTGTATTGTCTTCAGAGAGACAACCTTAGCATCATGGAGGAGCTTGTCAGAAATACAGAATCTTGAGACCCTCCCCAGAGCCACTGAATTAGAAGCTGATTTTCATCAAAATCTCCAAGTGATTCTTAGTCTTTTGCAGCTTGAGGACTGTTCATCCATGAGAAAAGAAAATGTAAAAATCCTTACATAACTTAATTTTTTCATTTTCCTAAATCCAATATACGCATAACTATGAAAAAGTAGAATATATAAGGAACAAAATAATGAAGACACATATGAAAGGATCAAAAGAGTGTATGTGAGGTTGTTAAAGTTAATTTTTGAAAAAAGGAAACAAAATACTGTAGAGGAAGATTTCAGGGTATATGTAGATGTACATAGTATATATCTTAACCCATTTCCACAGAATCATATATGTTATTATATATAACATAAAAGTATTAATGTGTAAAAGTATGGCTTCAAAACTGGTGGTGAAATTTTAGGTTTCACTTTGCTTCATACATTTGCAAGTTGTTCCATGTGGTTTTTTTAGTGATTATGCATTATTTATGCAATCAGTAAAAAGTCTGAAAAAATGTGAATTACAAATGGATGATCTTTTCAAAGACAGATTTTTGTCCTCAGGTAAAGTCACACAGTTTAGCAGGTGTGGTGGTGCACGCCTGTAATCCCAATTCTCTGGAGGCTGAGGCAGGAGGACCCTTGCGAGTTCCGGACCAGCCTGGGCTACAAAGTGAGCGCAAGGCCAGCCTGAACTGCATATCAAGATCCTGTCTCAAAAAGACAATAAAATAAAATAAAATAATGTCACACAGCTTAGTAAAACAGCCAACTATAAAGAGCCCAAGATGACCCATAATTCAAAAATCATATTTACAAAAGTGATTGAATTTTGCAGCCATGGAGAGCCTCAGTTTCTCACTCCTCTTGTCAGACAAGTCAGATTTCTTTTACCTTTTTCATCTGCTGTCCCAGTCTGTGGTCCAGCCTCTTGTGACTACTTTCTGTTTAGGGCGTATCACGGTCTGGTTCATATTAAAACTAATGGTGTAATGTGTACTTGTGGCACAGCCAGGAAAGAGACTTTCATCCTGTGATGCCCAGGAGATTAGAAGCTGACTCTTATTCATCTGTTTACTTCCAAGACATTACACAGGACCAAACATAGAATAAATGCTCAATAAATATTTATTGAGTAAAATTTTCCTGTGCTCCAATAGTTATAGTGAGTAATTGGGATCATAATGTTTTAAGAAAAGTTTCACTTCCTGTCACTGGTTGGACTATGGCAGAACCTGACTAACAAATATTCAATTTATTATTTTTACACTCAAAATACTTCTCTTATAAAATCTTTAGTGCAGCAGAAATTACGGAGACAACACTAAGATTGTAGCAACTTCAATGTGAACAAGTGTGATAGATTCAAAGTCATTTTCTACCTCTATTAATGGTTAAACATTAATAAAAGAAAGCCATTTGCATCAAAGAAACTGACTGCCACTTAAATATAGCATTTGCTTGTGAAGGTACCCATCATTAACATAGCTGATTTCCTCCTAAGAATTCTGTGTACTGCGCAGATCTATGCAATTTGAATATGATGACCAAGGGAAGGTATTCTGAATAGAGTTACAATAGCTTCCTTCAGTTTGCCTATGAGGAACATTTAGGCTCACCTGTTAGTCCATTTTCAACTTAATTTGCATTGTAGAAAATTTACTGACAGAATTTTGCTGAGATTATCTGTGGTCTTCATATAGCATAGCATGTATAATTATGGATGCATTTAGGATGATGGGTCAAGACAGAGCTGTCTAATTGGACAGAATTTCGCTCTGGGTTGCCTTTAGACTTTCCTGTTGGCTATACTTAGGATTAGTGTCTTCTTGTTTTATTGAGACCCCTGAAGATCAATTTTCGGAAGGACATAGGGGACTGGAGCTTTGATCCTCTACTTGCAGGAAGGAAGCTTGTCTGCTATATTTCTCCTTTTCATCTGTCCCTAAAGTTGAGCTGTCATTCACCTTTCTCCACAGGTCCCTGTGGTTCAACGCTTCCCACAAAGATTTTGGCAAACTCATTGTCCTTTCACGGGTGATTCTTGTAAACTCGTTACATTGTTTTTTTGTGTAATTAAAATGTCTGAGGTCTTTCTCAGTTTCACCAGAAAAGAATTTATATCTTTACTCTCATTCACTACTGTGACTGTCACTTGAACAAACAAATAAAACATCCTATGACTCAACATGCTTGGATAGCTTTGGGTTTATCCAAAGTGCCAAAGGGTTCTTGAATTTGGCAGTTCATAAAACTTTTAGTGCTGAACTGCGTTTTAAAAATGTTTGAAGGGAATTATTACATAGAGGGTATTTTAAACTTGGTGAGGATGTTGCCAGTATCCAACTCCAAAAATCACACTTTGGGAAATATGGACCTGGACAATGCGAAACATCTTCAACATCATAGAAAAATAACAAAGCTAACAGATTTTTTCAGCTGAACAATTTTAGTTTCAGTATTAGAAATCAATTGCATTTTTCTGATATTCAGTAATCCACAGTCTTGGCAAAAACGATAGGGCATTACTTAAATAAATTTTGACTGGCCTTGAAAAATGTAAGACTGATCTGATATAGCACCATTGGTTACTACTTTAGTGAAATTGTAAAGTTTTTAATCCCCAAAAGTACCAGTTTGCTTTTATGTAAGCTTAGAAAGGTAACTATGTCCTAGATAAGAATTAAGTGGAGTGAAGCAAGATATAATAAAAGAAAATTATTCAACATACTAATGGAAACTATTATCAATATTTTTAAACAATATTTACCTTTGTTGACTAAATCAGTCTTTTCAGTTAATGGTGAATGGTCTGCTTAAAGGTCATGCCATATCACCAAGGAACTAGGTCAGTCTGTAAAATAATGCTCATTTCAAATGTGTAGTTAGGATCAGTGCATCAAACTAATGCCATGCACCTCCTTAGGGCCCCTGTAAGCTTCCCACTTCTCTGTTTGGTTAAAACTACCTTGTAGAAAATTCATAAATCTAATTCATGGTGACTTTGAATTTGTTAATGAATTTTATTTAAGGTTTATCATTGGTATTGACACAGTTTTAGAGTTATGATTCTTGTAGAATTTCTTTAAAAGATTCAGACACATTACTTATTGGATTGTGTGATTATATTCATTTTCATGAGAGTTTTCACCTAAATTCATGTTCTTATTTTCTTGCCTATTCATCCTTCATTAATTTTAACATTTCTGACATACACATCACTTGGGAGCTGTAGAGGGAATTATTTACTTTCTAATGTTCATACTTTGTTAGAATTTTTCAACTGAATTTTGAAGGAACATTTGAATCTTTGTGCAATGTTATTCTGTATGTAATGCTAGCCTGAAAAATAATGACATAGAAGAAAAGCTACAGAAATGTTTCTCAGCAGAGTTGATACAGAAAAGAAAGATATTTCTGGGTCACATATCTGGGTCAGACTAATGCATCCCTCTAATCCCAGCTACTCAGGAGGTTGAGGCAGGAGGATAGCGAGTTTAAAGCCAGTGTGCCCAAATTAGCAAGACCTTGTCTCAAAACAAAACAAAAAGAAAGAAAGAAAAAATAGGATGAGGATGGAGCTCTGCACTTCCAAGATTAATTCCCAGTACCACCAAACAAATGAACAAAATGCAAAAAGATATTTAGTACGTGATGCCAATAATCTGAGACAAAATACAATTTAACAGTAAAACAAAATTGAATTTAAGTCTTTTTCTAACTTAATTCCTCTGGTAACAAAACAAAATAAAATTATATAATTGAAATTTTTTATTAAAAAAGAATTAAAATTGGAAAACTATACCTAAAATGATCAAGATTTATTGGTCATTATTTCTCACAATTAGGAGATACATTAGTTAGAGTTATTAGTTTCAAAGTAGAAGATATATGTTATTATTGTACAGGAACAGCTGTTGAGGAATCACAGAGAATGGAGTCTCCCCGTGAAGGAAGTTTAAGAGGGCAGCCAATAGGTAATGTTAGCACCAAAGAAAAGGGAAGGAGGATTAGATTCAGCTTTGTATAAAACATAGAAAAGATTCCTCTTAAACTCTTAGAATGTCAATAGGTTTCCGAGTTCTGTACACAGAGAAAACTTATTTTCACTACAAGGCAGGTGGAAGAAAGTTACATGGCTTGAAATAGTGAAACTTGTTTGTCTACAGTAACAATTTTGATCCTTTAATTTTACTGGCTTCTTTTCATTTTGTGTTAAAAATTCCATAAATGTGTGGTTGATCATAGAAATGAGGTTACAAAGACCACATGGGTGAGCATGTTGTCTTTTTAAAACACCTACTACTTAATTTATCATACCATCTCTGATAATAAGATGTTTAAAATTCAAGCATGTTGTCCTCTTGCTTCATTCTGACCATGCTAGGTGTCCTACCATGTTCAGAACCTAGAACTGTTGAACTCTGAGTGGGGATGACTGAAAAAACCATTTACTGGGCTTTTCCCTCCCAACAAAACATAGATAGCCTTTCACGAACTGACTTTTATCTGTAAAAGAGAACAGATCAAGGGCATTCTCCATTTGATAGTTATGGATCGGACTAAAGCAAGTTATAGAGAGAATGGTATTGAGTGAAATTGAAGAGCTTATCGTTCAAAGTTATGACTTGGAGAATGAAGTACCCAGATAGCATGCATGTTGCATGCCGTTCTTTCAACTTCTTGCGAGACGGTTAATGGGCTCTGCATGTATTACCTCAATCAGCCTACTGTGATCTTGAGAGTGAGGCTGACTTTTGGCATAGAAATATGAGTATTTGCTTTATACTTGGTAAAGAGAGACTAACTGGATATTACAATAATATAGTAGAGAGCCCATCTCAAGAAGAATAAATTGAGAAAACTAAAATGTTGTAGAAATAAGACAAAATAGTAAGAGGCTTGACATACTGCTGATGAGCAATAGAAAGATGTTATTTGAAAGGTGGAACAAAAATCAGAAGAACCCTCTTCACCCTTACCTTTACCATATTTCCATTTCAGAGAAGGTAGATTTCAATAAAAATATGCGGAAGGGACCCAGACTCCTTACCTTTTCCAGCAGCTGACGAAGTTGCCTGCTCTTGGCATCCCTGGAGCACAGGTTTTGTTCCGGAGCAACCACTGTGCAGATGCACCGCCCGTCAGGGTCCTGTGCAGAGCTGTACACTTGCCACCCCTCTTTGGGACTAATCTGAGTCTGAGGAAACCAACAGCAAACACAGAAACACAGACTTTTGTTATATAGAAAAGAGAATGTGGATTTGTAGGCGCTCAAGCAAAGCATCTTTTGGAGAATTAGAAGTTGTGTTTTCATTCTGTAGAGTTTGAAGATTAAACAATTCCCAAAGGCAGTGGACTTCATTAAGGTCTACCTTCCTTACCAGTGTCCAAAAGTAGATCTTTTGTCTCCTTCCATTTCTACGTTACAAACTCGGCCTGATCTCACACTGCTTCTTAATATGTTTTATCACATTCTGACACTCAGATGAAACTTTAGAGTTATCTATTTATCACCCAATCACCTGCAATTAATCTTTCTACATTAGAGTTGGTAGCTTGTCTCGACAGTTAGTGGCAAGTATTAGTATATTCGTTGCTGATTATTATTCAGGGTTGATATTCTGAAACGAACCCCTGCCTCAAGGTATTTCCTTTGCATTAAAGGACTAATTATTACAAAAGCAGGAAAGAATATTACAAGATGATATAGTGTAAAAGAAGTCAGCAACGTTGTGCAAAAGATATGGACTTTCAGAGAAGTTGCATTGTTTTGGCAGAGTCTCTTAAATTGATCTCCCAATAATTTCTGGGCCCTTGCACCCTAAATCCGAGGTAGCATTCTGGTTGTACTTCATTCTGTCACTTTTTTATGCTTATTGTTTTACTTCCTGCTGTCCGACAGCAGCTTTCACTCCAGTTAAATTGAGCCGGGTGAGTCTTGCAATCATCCAGCGTTGATTGATATCTTTGTGCATCATTGCTCTTTCTGCATTGGCCACTTGGAATGCCTCCTTTATAATCTGTCTGTTCATTTGGCCTACCTATTCTGAAGTACTGTTGGTACTACTCTTAGGCATTTAATGTGTATTGCCTGGGATTGTTATTTGTATTTCAAGAATCTTATTTTAATAGCTAGTTTATTCCTAGCTATTAGAAATGTGCTCATTTCCTATCTATTCTATTAAGTGTACACTATCAAGAACAAAGATAATTATCCTTACATTTTGTCTAATTATTTTTTCAGAAGAACTTCAGTAGATTTTCAAATAATGTACACAGAGGGAACTTATTTTCATTATAGGGAGTGGAAGAATTTAGCCAGGATTATACTTGAAATTGTGTAAATGAGAAGTGTCAGTATTAACAAACGCTACGGTTTTATTCCTCTAGCTTCCCTTAATTTTCTATTAAAAGTTCCTTTCTATTAAAAAACAGCAGTTACTGTGAATGGCTCGGTGTACATTGCAGGCGCTCGCTCCACCAACTGCCTGGGGGACTGGCGGCTCGCTGCTCCGTGAAGTGTCTCCTTGGGGATGGCCTTGGCTGGAGAATGCTGCCTTGCTCGAGGCCAGACTCCATTCCAAGGAAGCTCACTTCCACTTCAAAGCAGCCGAAACTATTGCTGTTATTCCCATTTCACAGAAAAGGGAATTGGTTAACCTGGCTCAGCCTGCACAGGTTGTATGTGGTGATTCAGGCTAGGAAGCCAAGGGCTGTGTTCTGTTTCTGCACTGCACAGTAGAATTATGGAGCCATGGGTATTTTAAACATGAAAAGAAGCTACTGAAAATAATTTTAATAAGATATTTTAGCTCAATTTATCCATAATGCTATCATTCAACATAGAATATGAAAATCATTCATAATTTATATTCTGTGTGTGTGTGTGTGTGTGTGTGTGTGTGTGTGTGTACTGAACCTATGCTCTGCAAACACTCTACTACTGAACTGCATCAAGAGAAAATTTTTCCTTTGTAAAAATTTTTGAGACAGAATCTTACTATGTTGTCCAGGCTGGGCTTGAACTTGTGATCCTCCTCCCTCAGTCTCCCAAGTATCTACAATTACTGTTTTTATTTTTAAAGACTTTAAAACGAGCCACTGAAATTAAATATTCATTTTATTCCTATGAATTCAGTTTGAACTACTCATATCTCAAGAGCTTAATACCTGTGTTCTGTAGCCACATGTACTTTTGGACAGTACATCTCCAGTATTACTTTTAATTCCTCTGTAATAGCTGTATTGATATGATTCTCAGCATGCACCTAATTGTTTCCAAAGATTAATCATATAAATATTGGAAACACAGCAATGGATATTACATGGATGACTCACGTCTTTTGTAAATCTATTCCCTATTTAACAACCTGTTCATCCACTGTTCAGACTTAAACCCAGGCAACTTGTTCAGAATTACGATGCACTACTTTGACTTACAATCTGACTTTTTTTATACAGTTCTGTACATCTTGTTTACAGAGCCTCAATACCTTCTTTTGAACCTTGCTTATACAGTACTGTAATTTTTGCTGACTTTACTGTATAATACTGTAGTTTTATGTTCTGTTATATATTACATGAGTGCATGTAAGAGTTATGCAAATAAAAACAAAGTCATCAGATTGGAGTTTCCTTTGACCATTTCTTTGTTCCGAATATCGTAGTGTGAGTACCATATCCAGTTTCTCACCTAGTGACCCATTCATTGAAAGACCTAGTCGCTGGAATGGAATTCGGTTGCTAAATTAGGAGTATCTTTATTGGAATTAGTTTTACTTCTGTAGAAACATGAGATAATCATTTGGGTCTGCTTTTGTCAGAAAATCTCAGAGGAGATTATCTACAGAGTGAAGGTAGAAATAGGCTAGCGGTACAGTTTCAATAACATAATTAAAGCTTTAAAATAAGTAACAGTGTGGGATAAATGTGTTTGGACATAGGCCCTGCCAGCTTCTAACGTTGGACACAAATCTCCAATATGTCATCAAATGAAGGCTTTTCATTAGAATAAATTTAGCTTTTGGATGAAGGAGCAGGGACCACCTAGTCACAATATTAAAATATTTTAACAGCAGTGCAAACACTGATTATTAAGCCTGGCACTATTAATATTGATGTGTACTTGCCAGGCCTTTGGCTGACTTGTGTGGTGCTGATTACAGAGCTAGGTGTTAGCCACTCTCTGGAACAAGCAAGGGAAAAGGTGAAGAAAGTCTGATATCCATTTAGCATTCTTCTTGAAGTGTTTGCTTAATACCATTAAAGGCTCCAGCCTTCTTTGTACTTGCTCTTGTCTTCCTGTAGGAATCATTAAGAAGAGCCGTGACCTTCTTTAGCACAGTTAGAATGATCCGAACTATTAAAAAAAATCACCCTTTTTGGCAAGAAAAAAGGTAAATCAGAACCAAGAAAACCCAGTATAAAGGTGAGTGCCTGACAGTCCTGTGGATTTTCCCAGAGCCTTTCATTCTGGGGCCAGTGATAAATAGAGGGAGTGTTATAAGCATTTCAAGTGCTATATTTTAGGACACTCATCCTGGCATTGGAAAGAAACCAAAATAAAACTATGATGTCAAATGGAAGAACATATTTAGATGTCTTTTCAATACGCATGCAAAAAGTCCTGCTCTAACCTTAACTTTTTATAGACACTCAAGTGTCAATAAAATTCATATTAAGGGCAATCTTCTATGGAACTCTGCTCATACGGCAGTTTGGGTGTTTTTTGTCTTTGAACATCATAATAACCTTGTGGACTATTCTTCCCCTTTTCCTGATAAGGAAACAGAGGCAGTGAGGCTTGGAGATCACACAGAGAATAGTCCACAGAAGTGGGAATTTGTACTTGTACAGCCTGATTTCAGAACACCGCGTTATCCACCATGTTGTTCACTCGTCATTTAAATCCCCCTTAAGATGTGGCAATATCTTAACCCAACAGCATTTGCTAAACTATTGTGAAACCCGATACTAGGATCTGGCGTGTGCACATAATATATTGCTATTGAAAGCATTAGAAATTACAGAGATTACTGATGCAGTTCTTTTTGAATCTTTTGTGTTAATTAAAACAACTAAATGAACTATTTAGAAGTTTTTCATATTACAAAACTCATGAAATTAGCAAAACGTTAGTAAGAATGTTAAAAAGATAATTTAACCATTGCATTTCAAATCTCAATTCTTTGCTTATAATGCCAAAGCTACGTTTTGTAAGTGTAAAGTCAACTTGTGAGAGTTTTCCTCATTCTTTAGGAATCGTATGTTGAAAAAGACCATTTTTGCAAGTTGTTCAGTTAGTCAATATTATGTATGAGACAGCAGTGTTCTCCAGCTTTCAGCCTAGAGGTTTTTATGTTCAGCCTCTGCAGATAAATGTAGATTATCCCCCATGCTCATTCACCAAGACCTGTAAATGGAGTTTTAGAGGAGACAGACCCCTCTGCAGTGGATAGGAGCACATCTGCCTGGGCAGGTGGAGGGTATTATCCACTGTGGAAACAGCAACTATTGTCATATACACGGGGCAGTCAGACAGAGTAGGAGATCAGCAAGATGCAGCTCAACCTAGTACTTCTGTGAAAGGCACTGCAGTACTTGTTCAGGGCCCAGATAGAGAGGAAGGCAAAGAAAAGGCTTATCCTTAGAACAGAAGAAAATTGCCTGGTTCTACATTGTTAGATTTTAGTTTTTTGCTGTTTCTGGGTGTTCCAAAAAGTACATACTGAACCAAAAGAAATAAGGAACCGATCTACTGCAGGTAGTGTACAAGGCAAGGGACAAAGCAGGAAGAAAAACACTTATTAAAATCTGTTTCATGTAGAATGGAGATACCCGAGTGATAAAAACCCCTTAGACATTTTCTATTTGTGAATACCTTTGATCCCGGAGAGTGAGATGAGCATGCTAATGGTTTCAGCCGTGGAGAGGAGCAATGTGAGGACAGGGGTTAGAGAGAGGTTGTCAGATCCAGCAGTTCTGGAGGATGTGTTAATAGATGTCACTGTATAGCAGTTCTCTTGCTATTGTTTATAAGAATACTTGGGGCTGAAATAAATGAATAGTCTTCACTCAAGGAAATCTCTAGGTTTTGAAAATAACAAGAAAACCAGCTATAAATAGAAACAACAACACAAGTAACCGAAAAAATCATCCAATTGAGGATGGTTACATCTGCCCATAGTCTGTGAAAAT